AACCTAAAATTATGACAGCTAAAACAGGCTTACAGTTAAATATGTCATGTAAAGAGCTATTATCAATGAACAGGACAAGAAGAAGAAACAAAGGATCTTTCTATTTTTTTTCTCCCCAAAAATAGGATGTCAAGGACTTTTCAATGAATGGATTTAGCTTGTTTCTTTGTAAAGAAACAATCATTATAGTGAACTGGCAACTAACAGAATGGGAAAAAATTTTTGCAATCTACCCATCTGACAAAGGGCTAATATCCAGAATCTACAAAGAACTAAAACAAGTTTACAAGAAAAAAACAACCCTATCAAAAAGTGGGCAAAGGACATGAACAGACACTTTTCAAAAGAAGACATTTATGAGGCCAAGAAACATATGAAAAAATGCTCATCATCACTGGTCATTAGAGAAATGCAAATCAAAACCACATTGAGATACCATCTCACGCCAGTAGAATGGCGATCATTAAAAAATCTGGAGAAAGATGCTGGAGAGGATGTGGAGAAATAGGAACACTCTTACGCTGCTGGTGGGAGTGTAAATTAGTTCGACTACTGTGGAAGACAGTGTGGTGATTCCTCAAGGCTCTAGAAATAGAAGTACCATTTGACCCAGCAATCCCATTACTGGTGTATTAATAAGGGTTCATTTGGAATTCACCAAATTGATGAGTGGAGACATGCACATTACCTGTGCCCTAGGGGACTATTAGCAACATTTCTCCTAATCTGGCCCAATCTGTTGTCAGAGAACAACTTCCCTCTTTCTGCCTTTCTGGCCACTTGGACATGTGAGAAATGAGAAGCTTGCATACATAGTGTATGAACGTATTTCCCATATTTAGCAAATGCTTTTCCAGGTCTGATGCCAAAAAACAATTCACTGCATGTGGAGTGTTTAAATTCTTCTGCTGTCTTTATTATTGTACAGTAGCTTGTCTAATATTATTTGAGACTGATGAGGACTTTCCATTAGCCCCAAAGGGCCTTTAGTCTTGAGCTGTCTACAGAGATAGTAAAAAGAGCTCAACATAATTCTTCAGCTGCAGAATAGAAGACAGTGTCTCATCAGTACCATAGAAAGAGCTTTTGTTATTTTTCAAAATATTTTTGAGTGCCTGGTGTTGTAGCTTTTGTTTGTTTAAATAAGTGGATTTGTGTATAACTCTTTTTCATGGATGTTCACAGTCTCAGGAGAACCCAGATGCTAGATAATAAAGCTGTGCTTCCTAACGTTTTTAATAGTTGTTACACGTGAAGATCTCAACATTTTTCCAAAGCCTAAGCTGCTCCTCATCTCCTTCTGACAAATGGGTGCATTTGCTGGTGGAAGTGTGGGGTTGAAAAAAAACCCACCATGCTTGATTAGATTAAAAGAGAAAAGCGAATACCATATGGAAATTAAATAAAACTGAAAAAATAATGGTGAAAAGAGTAATAAAGGAGACGAAATCAGAAGAAAGGAAGCAGGGATTGATTGCTCTTATTAATCTCAATTCCTCTAGCCTGCCTCCACCCACCTCCACAGTCTGCTTCATGGCAACCGGCCAGCTCTCTGCGTTGCTTTTGACTTTTAATGGCCTCCTTGGGCCATTTTCCATTACTTATTTGTTTACTGCCTACACTTTGCAGATGTGGAGGTGTGAGGCTTAGTATAATAGTTTCCTATTGCTGCCCTAAGAAATTACCCCAAATTTAGGGATTCAAGCAACATGAATTTATTATCTTACAGTTCTGTAGCTAAGAAGTCTTGACATGGGTCTCCTGCCTCAAAGTCATGATGTCAGTGCCTCCTTTCTGGAGACATCCGGGAAGGATTAATACCTTTGCTCATTCTGGTTGTTGGCAGAATTTAGTTCCTTGCAGTTGCAGGACTGAGAGCCGTATTTTATTGACACCTGAAAGGCATTCCCAGCTTGGAGAGGCTGCCTGCATTCATTAGCTCCTGGGCTCTTTCCTCCATCTTTAAAGCCAGTGACTTTGGGTTAAGTCATTCCAATGTTGAATATTACTCAGCCTTCTTCCATTGTCACGTCTCTCTCTGACCACAGCTGGGAAAGTTCTCTTCTTTTAAGGAATCATGTAATTAGATAGGTCCTCCACGGATAATCCAGGATAATCTCCCCATTTCAAGATGTAACCTTAATCGTATCTGCAAAGCCCCTTGCCTACATAAGGTAAGGTATTCTCAGATTCTGAGAATCAGGGAGTGGACATCTTTAAGAGGCCATTCTTCTGCCACTCTCAGAACAGGGGTGCTGAGCAATTTGATTTCTGAATCATTGCTCCTGGGAAGCTTAGAGGAAGTGGGGGGTTGGGGGAATCCGTAGAATGTGAGGGCTATTTTCTAATTATGTAAAAGACATTATAGCAGTGTCTTGTTTTCACTGAAAACTCCCAATTAGGAGGGCTAAGTAAGAATCAAAAGATTCCCAGGTAATATACTTTTACCAAGAGTCTCTTCAAAACAAATGCTAACCATTTCTTTAAAATTAACAGAAAGGAAAAGGCAGCTAGAAAATGAATGGGGCATTAATCAGAGAATTTTAGAAGGGACCTAGAGATCATCTTAATTTACCAAAAAATTTTGTTACACTTTTTAACATGTAGATTTACATGCAGTTTAAAAAATACCCATACCCAGTTTTCCCCACTGGTAACTATAATATCAAAACCAGGCAGTTGGTATAGATACAATCCATCTATCTTAATCAGATTTGTTTTATATGCGCTCATTTGGGTGTGTGTATATACAATTCTGTTCAATTTTATCACATGCAGATTTGTGTGACCACCACCAGTCAAGATCAGTTTAGTAATTTTTTTTGAGATGGAGTTTCACTCGTTACCCAGGCTGGAGTGCAATGGCACAATCTCGGCTCACCACAACCTCCGCCTCCTGGGTTCAGGCAATTCTCCTGCCTCAGCATCCTGAGTAGCTGGGATTACAGGCACACGCCACCATGCCCAGCTAATTTTTTGTATTTTTAGTAGAGACGGGATTTCACCATGTTGACCAGGATGGTCTCAATCTCTTGACCTCTTGATCCACCCGCCTCAGCCTCCCAAAGTGCTGGGATTACAGGCTTAAGCCACCATGCCCGGCCCGTATTAAAGTGGGCTCTTTGAGCTGTAAGAGAGTTCTGTCTAGCTGCTTCAAGGGATGCTGTAGTGGAGAGGGGTTAGAAGGGCTGGGCCAATAAGTGGAATTCAGGGACCTTACTTTCCTTTTAAAGAAAAGGCTGCTTTTATTTATTTTATGTACTGAGACTACATATACTATTTTATTTGATGAAGGATCCCATAGCTAAAAACGATTGTCTCAGTCCAGTGCTTTAATTTTGCAGATGAAGAAACTCTGCATATGTACCTCTGTGCTCCAGCATACACATCGACTAGTTCTCAATCGGCTCATTACCAGTATTTGCCCACTAAGTCGGCCAATATCATAAAACACTCAAACCCTCCTTCTAGCTGGGCGAGGTGGCTCACGCCTGTAATCCCAGCACTTTGGGAAGCCGAGATGGGCGGATCACCTAAGGTCAGGAGACCAGCCTGGCCAACATGGTGAAACACTGTCTCTACTAAAAATACAAAAACACGCTGGGCGTGGTGGCGCAAGCCTATTGTCCCAGCTACTCGAAGGCGGAGGCTGCAGTGAGCCAAGATCAGGCCACTACACTCAAGCCTAGCAACAGAGCGAGAATCTGTCTCAAAACAAAACAAAACAAAACAAACAAAACAAAAACAATAAAAAACAAACCTCCTCCCTTCCCTCAGAGGCAAACCTTAAATTTAGCAACAATAATAATTGAGGATATTTTTCCATCTTAATTAAGTCTTCAGTTTATCTTAGAAATAAACTGTCAGATTAAGAACTTTATTTGGTTCACTGGCTGGCACATAGTAGATAATCAGTGCCTCAGGGAATGACTTTAGTTGACAAACATTAGAGTTCAGACAATTAATGAATATGTATATATACGTATCTTCATCATATAAATGGCTAGACCCTTCAATGTTTAGAGGGAGATGATTATAAAAAGTGGCTCCTGTTTTTCTGCATTAACTTAGAATTAACAGTAATGTATGAAATATAACGTACCATGCAATCTTCACTGATTTTACAGCATCTGGAGATGAGTGTTCAGTTCTGTGGAAGACTTTCAGAGGAATATTCGCAACTGGAGCATTTGGGAGAAGAACTAGGGTCTGACCGGATGTCACAGGAGAACTGGAGAATAGGAATTGGAGAATAGGACACATTTTGCATGCAGAGAAGATTTAGAGGAAACAGGATACCTTTTTTCAAATGTCTAGAAAGTACTTCTGTGATAGAATTGCTGTATGTCTGTAGATCAGTATCAATGAATGAAGGTACAATTTCCACTCAATATACGGAAAGTCTTTTATAACAATCAGAGGTGTCCCAAAATGAAATGGAAGGCTTTAGTGAGTTTCCTGCTACTGAAATCATTCAAGCAGAGGGTTATGAAGGATGGCATGAAGAATGTATGCACTGGGTTAAGCTGGACCTTATACGTACGTATAAGGAACTAATACGTACTACTGATAGTTTAAATCCAGTTCCGCCTTCCTGTGCATGAAAATAAATCACCTGATAATCTATTTGCTTATATGGGTGGGATTTCTTATTGGGAAATTGATACAAACACAATACTTAAATGCATTTGTTTTCAACAGGTATTTTTTGAGCCTCTAATATGTATCTAATAGTGTAATGTGCTGGAGATATAAAAATGAACAGAGATAGGTTTTATCTGTTATTGACAAAATAAGTATGAGAAAAAGGAATATAATGTAGGTTGGTGTGTGTTTATTTCTATGTGGTAGATTACTGTGGCTCCTACATTATTATGTAAAAAACTTAATATAAAGTATGAAAACATTTAAAAAGTCAGTGAAATAATATTAAATAGACCATTTAAAGAGTCTGGAATATGACAAAGAAAATTATAATTAATCAGGTACTAACAACAGAAAAGAGAACAAATTATTTAATTTTATTAAAAATTTCCAATTTATAACCAAAATATACAACCACTACATTTAAAATCAGTTTGTACACTCACAGTTAAAGTGCTAAGAAAAAACATTTACAAAAACTGACATCAGTCTACTGTAAACAAAATAAATCTACAAGAGCAGAGTGCAAAGCACATCAGCTAATGTGAAATTCCCAGTTCATGCTCTAACCAAGTGCACTTGCCCTGTACATCCCAACAACAGCAACTTTTTCACTCATTTGGAAATGAACAGTTTTAATGAGCATATAAAAAAATGAAAAACTAATGCCACAAAATATAAGTCTTTAGCATAAACACTTTCCAATTAGATGTTTATATGATTAATCAAGATTAGAAGTTTAGACTCACCTCAGCAATCTGACTCAGAATAAAGTTTGGAAAACTAAACTGCTAAGTGCCAGCTATTTAAAAATGATAATTTTTTTTTAGAATAATGAAAAAGAATACCTTTTCTACCTTTATAGCTCTTGAAAAATTGTAACAGTAAAATGGGGAAAGAATTTTTTTTTTAACAAGCATGGATAGTATTCATCTGTAAATTTAATATCAATGAGCAGAGCTGGAAGACAAGACCTAGCTGTAGGTCATGTAGAAAGATGGTGAAGGAGATCTAGGATGCTCCAGGCATTGCCCTTGAACTTAAAAACAGGATCAGCAGGCCCTGACTTCTTAAGGCCCGTAAATACAAATGACTAGCTCCCTTTTTCAAGGTCACTGAAAATATACAGCAGTTTCAGACATTACATGGGTTTGAGCAAGGGGAAAGATTTCCAAGCTAGGTCACTTAATGGAATCTCTTGTCTCAAAATAGTCCCATCAACACTAATTTAAATGATTTCCACTTTTGTTTTAAAGCTTTTCTACTCATTGAGATTAATTTGTGCTAACAGCAACGTTTGCTTTTAATGCAGATTTCTCTTTAAGAGAGATAAAAGGGCTACAGTCACTAACACTTTAACATAAATTAGTTAAAGCAAATTTCTTTCTAAAAAGAAGTATTGATAAGAATGACTGGGACATAGAGGCAGGTAGGGAAGTTTTGGAGAATGTAGCATTTGAGGAATAGATCACATGAAGAGGGTAACATGAGCATATTGCCTAGGAAAAAGGGTTCCAAGCAGTTACAGAGAGATCAAAGTAGCCTTTCTCCACTATCAAAATTTATCCCAAACCAAGACACCCAGAGTACGTCTATGGTGTACTAGATTAGCTTTTGTTGGCTACTCTTTAACCTTATTATTCATAATTTTATATGATGAGATGTAGTCCGAATTCGGAACAACCCAATTTACAACCTATTAAATCATAAAATTGGGGATTTTCCTCTGTAGGAGTTTCATATTTTTTATGTGATCTTCCACTCATATATTTTTATTCTTATAAACTGAAATAAAGGTCTAAAGAAAATCTTTAAATGGCATTTTATGGCAAATTTGTTTACTATATAACATAGTAGTATTCATTAATTCAGAATGCCTACCAAGATGATAAAATTTTAGTTGCCAAAATTTGAGTCCACATCAGATGCGAGGGAAAATTATTTTGCCTCAAAATGACACTTACAGATGAATCCTTTTATATTAGGTTGGTGCAAAGGTAACTGCAGTTTTTGCCATTTAAAAAATTTCTTTAAATTTCATTTTTTAATGGCAAAAACTGCAGTTACTTTTGCATCAACCTGATACAAACAATATCTCAGATTATAAAAGCTTTAAACTACACACAAATTGACTGAAAGTCTTATGTAACAAATATACTCCCAAAAGGCATGTGCTTCAATTACGGAGTCATTTTGATAAAACATTTTTCAAAACTGGGAAATTTAACAACAAAATAAAGGATAATTGTTTTAAAGGAGAATTTTCTTGATAAGATTCGTGGTTATCTGTAGAGTTTCCTTCATAAAGCCTCTGGTATGTTGATAAGGTTTATGACAAGAAGTCAATATATCTATTCTAAAAGATCTTTTGTTTGGTTCCTTCTTGAATATATATTATGAAATTGCTAGCATCTGTTCATTTTTGACCAATAAAACTAGCAATTTCATGTAGTTAAAAATAATGCTGTATTATCGAACTATGACTGGGTAGCAAAAACCTCCTTGGCCTGACTTTGAGAACAGCTGATCTACAGTAGAGTTTGTCTGCTGAGATGTGACCATGAAAACACCGAAAAAAGTTAAGAAAACAAAATGAAACAAAAAAGGGTAAAAAAACAGTTCACATTAAATAAATATGAGTCGGGTATCACAAATTATGAGTGAAACAACTAATAATTACTATTAATTATAGATATATTACATAAATAATCCCAAATTCATTGTCAGATTAAAATACAGAAAAGTTTATTTGTCTGTTTTTGGTAAAACATTTGAATTCTGAAGAAACAGCTTCCACTGTTCTATTAAATACAGATAAAATAATTTAATAGTTTTTGAGCTGTCAAACTTCTTTTTTGGGGCTAGCGGAAAGGGATGGTGTGTGGTATCAATATCAATCTTTATTATGCCAAAGTAAATCTCTAAACTAGTCATTTCTTTATATATGTGATACCTTTACACTTCAATGAGAAAATAAAACACAAAAATAAAATTGGCATTTGAAAATAAAAGCAGAAAAGTTGTGGGAAGCTGAGGTTAAAGATGTGAAATGGGATGATTCTAGGGAAGTTAAATATTATAAAAAGATGAATGATACAACATTAGGATTTAGTCTAACTCACAGCTAAGATAGAAATAGCACCTGATGGCAGGAGAACGACGTCCAGACTAATATTTTCACATTGGGGAGTCCTTTATATGATTTTAAAATGTTAAGTTCATATAGAAAGAAAATAGAGTATTTTTAAGTATACATTCACCTCAGCTCAATGTAAAGAACTACTGTGTTGATCTTGTCTCAGAAATACAGAATTATTTCCTAATAAATGTTTCTGCTGACAAGATGAGTTCAGGGAAAAATTGTCTGAGGCAAGGACAAGTGAAGATATTTGTAAATTTCCTTTTAAAAATGGAGAATGGGAGGAATAGAGAAATAGAAAAATGGTGGATGTCTAAACATAAAGTAAATCACTCTAGGATTGTTGCTTTATCTTACAGAATATCCTATTATCAAAATCCAGAAAACATTAAATGTAATATTTGAACCTCAGATTCAATTTAACAAATGTGATCACAAAGACTTGCAGAGCCAGAGAACTGAAAACAGATCTTTTCTTTTTTTTTGGTAGGCAATCAAAATAACATAATAATATAGGCATCTCTGAATGAGAAAGGCTGGGCATCTAATTTAATTTCTGAAAGCTAGGAGAATTACATGATCCATGAAATGACGTAAGACAAGGAATCAAGTGTAGCTAAAGAAATCACACCAGAAACCAGTCCACCTTGCTATATCAGCTTTCCACTATTCTCTACTCGTCAGATCCTAACCCAACACCTAGACTGTAAATCTATACACCAGTGTTCAAAAGTTTAATATGAACTAATGTAGACAATCAGAGCAAAGACAATGATCTTTAAAAGTAACAGGAACATCCTTGGCCTAGTCCACAGAGAACACTACCAGAGAACTCTGCTGAGAGATGGAACTAATGTAATCTCTACCTTTTTTTTTTTAAGACAGAGTTTCACTTTTGTTGCCCAGGCAGCTGGAGTGCAATGACTCCATCTTGGTTCACTACAACCTCCATGCTTGGGTTCAAATGATTCTCCTGCCTCAGCCTCCCGAGTAGCTGAGATTACCGGCACACGCCACTATGCCCAGCTAATTTCTGTATTTTTAGTAGAGACGGGGTTTTGCCATGTTGACCAGGCTGGTCCCGAACTCCTGACCTCAGATGATCTGCCCGCCTCAGCCTCCCAAAATGCTAGGATTACAGGAGTGAGCCACTGCGCCCGGCCTCAATCTCTACATTTTATCAGATAACAATTAACCTTTCTGGAAACAATTTTTGTATAGCCAGAAAAAAATTAAAAATAACAAGCCACACTGATCTCTAATAATATTTCAAATGAAGACATTCACCTGCCCATAGCAATCTGGTAACTATATTTATGTAATAAATATTATAATGCAGCTTAAGAATAATTACTGAACAAAAAATTTTCAGTCAATTCCTCTGAAATATCTTTTGCATTTTAAAATTATTTTAATATTGCTAAATCTGATAGCTTTTAAATTAGCCATATGAACCACTGTTATCACTATTTCATCTTGAATACATTTTGTTTAAAGTTTAAGCTAACTAGCTATATTCATATTTAAGAGAACAAAGACCACAAAATTTTATGTCATTGTTTTCTAGATACCAATTTAAGGTGCTTATATTGGTGCTTAAGAAGACTTCCCCATTTAAAAAATAATCCATGTCCAATATTTATAGCTTTCTTTCATTTTTATTATCTGTAATATAAGTTTCCTTCTTTAAAATTACTTAAAATCACTAATGGAAACACAGTTAATAACATATCTGAATCCCATCAATTTACATGTAAATGGCACTAATAATACAAGTTGATCTAGTTTACAGGGTGAATAACAAGAATAGGAATGAGACCAAAATACTGATTATAAAATGGTCAAAGGAGAACGAAATAAGAACTGGGTGGAATTTAAGATTCTACCTAAACAAATTCTTTTTCCCTAGACAATGAGAAAATGGAGGCACCACGAGGTAAAATGTCTAGTCCAAAGTTACACAGCTAAGTGCAAAGAGAGGCAAGGTCAGAAATCAGGTTTCCTGACTCAAAATCCTATGGTATTCTAAAAAAATAACATAATGCATTTTTACTAATCATTAAAAAAATCTGGCCAATTTAGAAAATAGAATTTTTTTTGTTGTTTAATTTTAGACTCCGGGATAGAAAATAGAAATTATTAAGCTCTAAGTTTAACAAAAAAAAAGGTAATTAGCAAAATAATAGAGCAGTAAATCTTCAAAATCTGAATTATTTCAAGGTAAAAAACTTGTTTAATCTCTGTTGGGAAAAACTGGTGATAGTGACCAATAAATAAAATGAACATAAAGTATAAGCAATGCTTTCACACCAACAAAAATATTCAAAAAAGAACATAGCAGATTTCCTGAGGCAGATGATGATTAAAAAAATAATCTGAAGGAAATTATTCTTCAATGCATTTCAACAGATGGCAACCACTGTGTCTTATAGGAAGTACGTAATGTACTGGTTTGGTGTTTGACTAAAATATAAGTGAAAACTTTTATATTTATGGCAACAAAATTTTACTTTCTAATTAGAGATCACAGAATAAGAAATATGTTTAATTCATATTAAATCTTTATAAATCAACTGAATAGAAATGTCTACAAGGATGGCTGCTTCAGGGTATACTTTAAACATTTTCATTCTTAGAAGACTTGGATCCTGAGAGAAAATTGTAATCCTCTATCAATTTGATGACTAAAGAAGTACAGGATTAAAATTAAATTAGAAAGAAACCCAGGAGACTGATTACAGTCAGATGGAAGGCATGGGATGCCTAGTCTTCCTATTCCTTTCCCAAACTCATCTAACTAGAACAAAAGAAGAGGAGAAGAGAACTAGATTATGAAGAGATGCCAACACAATTGTTTTCCTGTAAAATAGGTCCAAGTTATAAAAGAATAATGTGTAAGATTATACAGCTACCAGGAAATACAGCTGAATTAAATGTAAACATTTTTTCTTAATCACTTGTAAAAAGACACAAAAACATTTAAAAGAATCACAAGTTCCTTTGCAAATCTAGGTTCCATAAAAATGCTATTCCTTTGTAAGTGAAGAATGGAGAAAAAAATCTTTACAGTTTAAAAAATTATAAATGTGTACAAACAATTCTCATAGTACGATGACTTAAAATTTAAAGTTTTGCAATGATGAAAACCAACAAGTGAATCACTGTTTCAAAACTTGTTCTCAATCAGAAAGAATTAGGTACATAAAAGCCAAAAAATCAAAGACAAATATTATAGGGTCTACATTCTTCTTTATATTTTTCTTATAATTTAAATCAAGCGGCTGTACTTATACAATTTGATATAAAAGGAAAAATATAATGAATATCCCCAAATTTGTTCTACAAATTAACTACATAAAATTTGAGAGCATACTCTGGTATAACACATATTAAAGAGCCAATACAATTTAAGAGCGTAACCTGCCTTTTAGAAGTTAATTGGATCACTGATTTAAAGACTGTACCAAATGAATACTGGTCTAATTGCCTATCTTGTTGTTGTTGCTAAAAAGAAATACTAGTGAAGACTATATCCTTGGTTTCTACAGCCTCCCAAATTCTAACAAAATCAAATGGTATCAGTAGAACACTTTATGGATCAGGCATGATGGCATGCTTGTAATCCCAAAGCTTTAGGAAGCCAGGAGTTCAAGACCAGCCTGGTCAACAAAGTGAGACCCATCTCTACAAAAAATTTAAAAAATTAAAAGTAAGCTGTGTGCAGTGGCTCATGCCTGTAATTCTAGTACTTTGGGAGGTCAAGGCAGGCGGATCACTTGAGGTCAGGAGTTCGAGACCAACATGGCAAAACTCCGTCTCTACTAAAAATACAAAAATTAGCCAGGCGTGGTGGCACGCACCTGTAGTCCCAGTTACTCGGGAGGCCGAGGCAGGAGAATCACTTGAACCTGGGAGGTGGAGGCTGCAGTAAGCTGAGATCGCGCCACTGCACTCCAGCCTGGACAACAAAGCCGCACTCCATCTCAAAAAAAGAAAAAAAAAATTACAATTAGCCAGGTATAGTGGTGCATGCCTACAGTCCTAGCTACTTGGGAGCCCGAAGCTGCAGGACTGCTTGAGCCCAGGAGTTCAAGGTATGATTGTGCCTCTGCTCTCCAGCTCGAGTGACAGAGCAAGACCCTGTCTCTAAAAAAATGTTTTCAAGTAGAGTAATTTATGGGTTATAGAGCATTACAATAAATGTTATTTCACTTGATCCTTACAGTGTCCAGTGAGGGAGGCTAAAACTGAAAACTACCTTAACCTCATTTTATATTGAAGAAACAAAGATTCAGAGAAATTAAATGACCAGTCCAGTTGACATCATAATTATGTCTTTTTTTTTCAGGCCCATACTGGCTAAAATTATGAGTCTTAAAATTCCAAGCCCAGGGGAATTTTCATTATACTAGACTATGTAAGTCATCCAAATATGGTAATATGTAAATGGACCTTTGGCACGTCAAAAAGCAATATAAATATCGTCATAATGAAATTTTGGTAGGTTAATGTTTTCTAAGCTCCGGCAAATGATTCACTAATTTATATAATAAAAACATTAAGTTGTTCCTTTTATTTCAAAGAAATATTGCCTAAACTAAGATGGGTACAATTTGAGTTATTTCCAGCTGTTATCACAAAGAAACTGATGAGGTAGGTTAAAATGCAGTAAATTTTTCTAATTTGAAGACATTCTCAGAATTTTTATAAATCTGCTCTAACAGCAGCAGAAAAAGGAAGGTTGGTTTGAAGATTTATTTACCCAACTGGTCCACAAAGATCTAACAGCGTAAGACTAACAGGAGCCTCATTACTTACTTGTAAGAATCACTATTCATCTTCTAAAACTAAAAGGATTGGTACATGTTTGTGCATAAATTTCTTTAATTAAAATAGTGATATGGACTATCATCTATGCAAAATGTTTTATTTGGTTTAATTTACATATTTATTACCTGCCCCATATTATTCTGGTAAAGCAGACTTCATTTCACATAGATTAAATTTAGATCTTACAAATTTCTTTGATGTGAGACTCACTACTAGGGTAAAAGCAAGTTGTGTAACATGAATTGTTAATTTAAATATTTACTGAAAAACTGTGTATGAAGCCCTGTGCCAGCTGAGTTATTAACCAATTGTTCTTTGAAACACACTGTTCTGAGTTTAATATTATCTTAGGTCTTTTGTCTAATTATTGAGTAAAACAATGTTGCTGAAAGCAGAGTACTTTTTGAAAACCTTTTGATAATATATTAACATTTTAGAGAGAACTATTATTTTCTCAGTTGTCAACTGAAAAAAGAAAACACTAAACATTATCGTATGCCAATCAAAGTTAAACATATGGTAGGAAAACTGTCCAGACTTGTTCAGATTGGTTTAAGCTAGTTGAGACTTGAAACTGCTGCCCAAACTAAATACTGTTCTTTAAAACCATGGATTCACAAGATTACATTATGTAATTTTGCCCCACAGTATTACATAAATTTTGTGGGACAAAATTAAGATACTTATTGAAAGTAACTGAAAAGTCAATATAGTATTCCCATACATACCAACAATTAAAGGGGAAAGTACAAATGAATATCTAAAAATCTGGAAGCACCAAGTTAAGATTTTCATGGTGATGTTCACTTAACTGTCTATACTTGGCCCACTTGTAGAAGAAAACCAATTAACATCTTGGCAGTTGATAATATATTGCAGATGGCAATGGATGACAACATCTTCAGGCTCAAACTGGTACCTTCTATTTTAACTTATTTTTGTTTGTAAATGTTTGTTTTGGTTCTCTCATGCTGTTTGCAGGGCAGATTCTCAGACAAAAGCATCATGAATTATTGATAAATGAGTTGTTTTATGTTTGGCTTTCAGAGAAAATGTTTACTAATTGTCAGTTATGTGGGAATTCAGACCTGCCTGCCTTGAGTGTTAACTCCAGTTCCAAGGAGAAAGGCAATGAACATAGAGAAAACCAAAAAACATTTTGGGCCAAATATTCAAATATATCTCATGAAGAATAATTCATATCATATATGTACTTTGAAATATATAATAAGACAAATTATTACTATCAGAAAACTGACTTTGCTACCTGAAAAGATTCTTTTTCAACACCTAATTTCTTGGTAGTTTCTGTTTTAAAGGGTGAGAAAGAAAAGTACACATAAATTCAACACATGTCAAGGAATGTACTACAGCAGTCCTCAAACCTCTTAAATCCACAATACCCTAATCCCTTATCATTCATGCTTTACAGTTTTCAAAGAGCTTTCACATGATTTTTTTCATTTGATCTTATTTGACAACGTTGTGAGGTAGGTAGAGTAAGTATTTTTTATCTTCATTTACAAACAAGGGAACTGAGGCTCGAAGAGAATTGTTAAAGGTCAGAAACAATAGCATAAGGCAGAGCCAGGCCTCTTCAGAGTCTAGAATAATTCTTCAAAGTATGATTCTTGAATTACCTGTATAAGAATCACCTGTGGTGTTTTTATAACTAAAGATTTTAAAGTCCTATCACTTTGGCCTTACAGAATAAGTCTCTTTAGGAGTGGAGCCCAGAATTCTGCATTTTATAATGAATAATAAAGTGGAGAACAATTAAATATTAGATAATGATATAAAATCGAAAGACTGAATCCATGTGGATGGATGTTCATATGATATAATATGATGCCATCAGATCATCGGGGCAAGTTAGTTTAAAGTAGTGAGTTTCAAGCCAGGCTGCAGATTAGAATCACATGGAAAGCATTTCGTCCTTTTTAAGAAAGCTACCAATTCTTATTTGTATGAGAGGAAGTTGTTAGAGAATCACCCAAGTGATTCTTACCTGCAGTCAGGGTTGATGACCCTTTAAATATGCTTTTTACATAACACATCCAGCATGTTCCAGCATTTTTCTTTCTCTTCGGATCGATTTCATGCCTAATAAGGTTTACAGTTTATATTGTAAATTATTTAAACATTACCAGATAAACATTTTTTACTTGATTTTTTAAGATTAAATGATATAGTAAGACTACTAATCATGCTTCATTTAGCTACAATGATTTTCAAATACTCAAATCAATCACCACTTTGGACCGAGGTTATATATATTTCGGTTGTAAACAAGAATGATCCAGAATCTGAAAATAAGAGTGTGGGGCAAAAGCTGTAGCCTACTAGCTATAGGGCAAGGCGAGAGCAGACAATCAACTCACTATAGGAGGGCCTGGATGCCAAGGTCTGGTGGCTTTGGCAAGATCAGCTCTCACTGCAGAAAAATACAACAATGAATACAGAGAAAATACTTGGCCATTTTATAACTGTGGTTACCATAAAGAGCCTTATAATGTGTGATGTTTATCTTATTACATGCCTCCACAAAGCAGATTTTGAACATTAAGTTTTCTATGAATCAATACTATTACATGGGAAAAGATGGCTACAAATTAAAATTTTTCCATCATGCATATGGATAAGTTATAAAAACACAGCCAGTAAAAGTAATATTTACAAAAGTTATAAAACAGCACAATTATAGGGGAAAGAATGCCCATCTCTTTATTCTACTACTAATCCAAATCCTGAATATCTCTGGATGAATATTACTTCAATAGGATTTTGAGAGAATCTTTCACAGACTAATCAGATTCTTCTGTTGCACTTTTATTCTATTAGCTAAAATACCCTTGCTGATTTATTAAATTCTCCTTACAGTTTAAAAACACAGTTCTTTGTTCACTTAGTGGAAATAAAACTACAAAGTCCTACTATTCATCTGAGAAGTAAACCTTGCATAGAAAATTTCTTTAATTCTGATATTGTTTTATTAACTGAGCTACCAGAATGTTATCTCACAACTAGTTCATAGTATATGAAAGTTCACTACAAAGCAGTCACCACACATTTAGGATTTTTCTAAATATAAAATGAGTGGGTTTATAAAAATGCTTACCAGACAAATAATTATCTCTTTTTAACCTAGAAAGACTAATTATTATTGTGATGATTTAATTCTTAGTGTTTTGGATGCCTTGATGTTCCAAGTTTGATGCAATATAAAAAGCAAACATTTACCTTTCCAGTGGACACAATCTGCACTTGACTGAAAGCATGTTAACAGCGAGTTACAGCAATCAGTCATGCAAAGGCAAACAATAAAATCTGCTTTTTAAACAGCACAAGTTTTCCACCTTAGACAAGACAAATTAAGCACTGGTTCCATCCTCTTCAATAACCCGATTCATGCTGGTGCCATGTGTGATGTGAGTCATGGGATTATTACTGAGATCTCTGATGCTGCTATGTCGTGACTGTTCATTGAGCCGATGAGAACTACTATGCCTGGAGTGATCTGTCAGTCGTGACATGCTGCCATGAGGTAGTCTCTCCTCCATTCCTCTGTAACTGCAGGGCGTGTACCTGTTATGAGAGAGTTTATTTTGAGTGGGTAACAGAACACACTAGAAAATGTAATAACACTAATAATTTTCATGAAGATGCCTCAGTACGGGAAATTATTAGGAAACCAACCATGAGAAAGTAATAAACAACTTTTGATTACTTCATTAACACTGTAGAATTACTGATATAGCCAACAAAAGAAAAGAGATAATCCACTCAGAATTAAGGTTCCATTCCCTGCAAAAGGACAGAAGCTGAGGTTAAACAAGGCTGATTTGAAGCTGCGCTAGATATGGATGCCTTCAAATGAGTTTTGAACAGGGTGGGTTCAGGGATAGGGGTAAGAACAAACAGAAGAAATGTGGCATTGCCCCTGGCAGCCAAGAGTGGTTATACTCAGTAGAGGGGTACACTCAAATTTTATTAAAAGACTATGATTGGAAGAGGGAGCATATGAAATCAGGGGAGAAATTGTGTAACCTAAAAAAAATAAATGAATAAACTGGCAAGCAACAATGACAGTATGTGCTGAAAGCTGCTTTTCAGTTAAAAACTGAATTAACTACCTGTAAATTATCTTAATCACTTCTTAGCAGGGCTTGAGGCTGTGAAGATGCTCCTTCATGGAAGCTACATCTGCTTGGAAGTTACATCCTAACACTTTGTAACCTATATTCCCACTAAAGCAAATTCTTTGTACCTCCAGCCCTAGGACCCAGCTTGGAGTATATGAGCTGGGCTCCTCTGCTAACTGCAGGCTGTCTCCTTCTCTGCACTTATCTTGAAAGGCAGCAGTAGGGCTATTAAATTTTCTTTTGTTGCAGTCCTGACTCACTGAGCTTTGCCATGAGGAATGAGATTAGCTCTAGGCCAGTCAAGGTCAGGAAAATCAATTATGACTTTTTTATTAGTCCTTTGCTTATGGAGCCAGCATGCTATTTATCAACGATTCTGGCTTTATAGTGTGCTCTTTCAAGGTAAAAACCATATTTTATCTTTTAATCCCTAGTGCCTCAAAAAATATTTGTCTAAGTTACTTTTTGTTTACACTCACACCTATACACTTTTGTGTATAAGTAAAAGTATTTGATTTAGGAAAATAAACCTCAAAGAAAACTTAGTATAATTTTGCAAACTATACTAAGTATTTGATTTTGTAAAAGTATTTGATTTATGATAATAAACCTCAAGGAAAACTTAATATAATTTATAACTTTAATTAACATTAGTGTTTCTAAAAATAAAATATAGCAGGCTAGGTTTTTTATTTTTGAACAGTCATCAAAAAAACTAATCATAAGCAGTTGCAGATCTGTTGGTTGTCAAGAAGCATTAATCTACCATTCCTTCACAAAAATAATTGTAACAAATTTCATGAGTCAGTGTGAATTATTTATAAAATTTAAAGATAGAATCATACACCATGGAGGTGATCTTTCAGTCTTATAGCAATGCTTGTCAAGTAACATTTTCATTAGATCAGAGTTTAAAACTTGAGAAGTCTTTTCAAATTTTTTTCTTTTTAAAAACATGTCTTTTGTTTCACTAAAGCAAAAAAGAAAAGTTAAATATGAAAAGATAAATATTTAAATATTTTAAACATTTCTCATGTTAGTGGATAAAAAGGTATTTAATTCTTATTTATTAAAAGATACTTCACATTTAGGACCTAAAACAGTTTTAAATTTGTTCTGCATGTTTTGGTAAATGATGACATCTTTGCAGATAAAAACATTTCAGAATGGACTGGTTATTCTAGTCTAATAATTATTATTTTGCATAATGATGATTGCCTTAAAACTGAATAGAAGATTTTTTCTAAGTTTCCAAATATGACTTAGCAGCTGATTTGGAGATCTTTCACTTCTCAATGGCTTCCTAAGTATCTGTCTCAAATAAATAGGGCAATTGAAAAAAGCAAAATATAATGCAGTTTTCTAGTAATAATATAAAGTTATCTTTTAAAAATCACTATATAAAAATATAAACTGAGTATTTTCTAAAATGAAATATAAAGCTTTGAGTTACAAAAACTCAAATAATATATTTTTCATAGAAAATTTTACTATATTGAATAATTACATCTAAATTTCTTAGTGACACATATGGCTATCCACAAAAAAATCAACCTGACCATGGATAACTAAAAGTCGACTACATAGAAAAATAAATTTAAATATACTGTTTAATCTCAATTGTATATATAAGAATTACCAAGTTTATTTTTTGACAGTCATTTAAACCACTGTGACCACTGACTCTAATTAATACACAGTGTGAAAATGTAAATTCATTTTCATATAAACTTAGGCAAAACAATTAGGATGGTTAATTTGTTGCTGTTGTCAAAAAGATAATTTGGTGCCTTCCAAAATCAACATAAAAAAACCTTGAAGATGATTTATTCTTTCTGAGTTTCCATACTATCTGCTATTGTTAATCTAAATAACTGAATTAACTGTAGTTTCACTAACACCTCCTTTTTATATTCCCTAGCTTTTTCTTGTCATGTCACCCACTTAACCAACCTAATCATTCATTCCCAAACCTTCACCTACCTACTCATCTACTTTCTTTTTCACCCACTCTCTCATCTAACCACCAATTACTTATTCTTTGAAGTTGACATACATGTGTAGGTGTATTCACCTCAACCTATTTTGTTTTACATAGTACAGAGATCAATAATTATCCAGCAAAGAGTCTGGGCCAGAGTGAGTACTGAGAAATGGGTGTGTGTGTGATCCCACAGGCAAGATACCATGAGATGATGAGAAAATGACCAAAACATAGTGTTACACAAAGTTAAAAACTGACTGAAGCAGAAAGAAATCTCCACGAGATGGCTTTTGAAATTATGAAAATCCTTGTTTAGACTTCTGGTTCACCACAGTCTTGGAACCTCTCAAATCTGCCCTAAAGTTCTAGGTAAAGTAAAGAACCCTACAGAATGAGTATTCATGTGCCACATTACAGAACACCTTCAGTAGGGTGACATTGTCATTCTGGCTCCTGAATTTCTGGGAAACATCCACAGTATTTCTAAAGTCATTATTTATTTGATAGATTTGTTAATCCGCCTCTATATATAGGCCTAGCACTGTGCTAGATACGGTGGAGGAATATGGTATCACCTAGTTCTTATTCTCCAGAAGCTGCAAGCTTAGCTGAGGAAAGACAATTATATGGAAAACAGATCATAACAAAAAGAATGATAAGCAATTTCTCTGACTCATATGCCCACTTCTCTTCTTCCTGTATTATTATTACTGTGAATATTTCCCAAGGTCTTGGTTTTTTTTTTTTTTGAGACGGAGCTTCGCTCTTGTTACCCAGGCTGGAGTGCAATGGCGCAATCTCAGCTCACCGCAACCTCCGCCTCCTGGGTTCAGGCAATTCTCCTGCCTCAGCCTCCTGAGTAGCTGGGATTACAGGCACGCGCCACCATGCCCAGCTAATTTTTTGTATTTTTAGTAGAGACAGGGGTTTCACCATGTTGACCAGGATGGTCTCGATCTCTTGACCTCATGATCCACCCGCCTTGGCCTCCCAAAGTGCCGGGATTACAGGCTTGAGCCACCGTGCCCGGCCCCAAGGTCTTGTTTTTGAGCTGTTATTTTAATAGTGAATCAAGGGATTCTAGCTTATAATTTTAATTGCCAACTATCTTATATTGATTATATTGACTTTCTTATCTAAACTCAAGTTCTATTCAGATGAGAGTAGCTTAAATCTATTTTAACTGCCCTCAGAAATTCTCTACTTAATATAAACTCATCTTTTACTATTCATTCACCCTGCTTATCTCCAATATGTTTTCTAATTTTATTTTTTTGAGACAGAATTTTGCTCTTGTTGCCCAGGCTGGAGTGCAATGGCATGATCTTGGATCACCACAACCTCTGCCTCCCAGGTTCAAGTGATTCTCCAGCCTCAGCCTCCCAAGTAGCTAGGATCACAGGCATGCGCCACCACACCCAGCTAGTTTTTTTTTTTTTAAGTAAAGACAGGGTTTCTCTGTGTTGGTTAGGCTAGTCTGGAACTCCTGACCTCAGGTGATCTGCCTGCCTCAGCCTCCCAAAGTGCTGAGATTATAGGTGTGAGCCACCGCGCCCGGCCTACATCTATTATCTTTAACGCTCACTGTCTTAATTATATCCTAACTTGTGCTATTATTTAATTAGCTCATATTTATGTGTCTTATCTTTCCTATAAGCTTACATGCTCCTAGAATGCATAAATTACATCTTACTTTTCTTCCACATATCTTTATACACAGTATGCCACATGTATCGGTGGCATACTGTGTATAAAGATATATATGGAATTATTCACTCATAGATGAATGTATAAAGATATATATATATAAATTATTACTTCATCCTTGAAAGGATAAGGCCAGCTGGGCATGGTGGCTCATGCCTGTAGTCCCAGTACTTTGGGGGGCTGAGATGGGCAAATCACTTGATGCCAGAAGTTCAAGACCAGCCTAGCCAACATGTCAAAACCCCATCTCTAATAAAAATACAAAAAATTAGCTGAGAGTGGTGGCACACACCTGTAATCCTAGCTATTCAGGGGGCTGAGGCATGAGAATGGCTGGAACCTGGGAGGTGGAGGTTACAGTGAGCTGAGATAGTACCAGTGCACTCCAACCTGGGCAACAGAGTGAGACTCTGCCTCAAAAAAATTAAAAAAAAAAAAAAAAGAAAGAAAGAAAAGAAAAATCAAAGAAAGTCTAAGGCCAATAATGGCAAATAAAGCTGAGTTTATGGAGGATTGTGACTGATAAATATATTCTAAAGAATTCTAATTCCGGAAAACAAACAAACAAACAAACTCTAATTCCCTCCCTCCTTATCAGTATCTTCAGCTTGGAACCCCTAAATTACTGTAGAAACTTTCTAACTAGCCTTACTTATAATCTCCCTCATTAAGATGCTATTGCCAAGTGATTTTTCTAAAATACTAATCTGATTTTCTCACCCCAATGCCCAAAGACCTATGATAGTTTCTTACTGCTGTCAGAGAAAAATGCAAACTCCTCAGTATGAATTCCTCTCCTTCAGTTGCTGAAACATGCAGTCTATACTCTAGTCATACCCATACAGGTACCTAACTGTCTGTCTGTCTTCCTTGCCTCTGCATGTGCTGTTTCCTTGTCTTTAACTACCAACTGACTCCTCTGAATCCTATTCAATGTAGAAGTGCAATCTCTTTTGCAAAGCTTTCACTTTCTGTGACGTAGTAAATGGTTTTCTTCTCTGAGATCCGAATGCACCCTGTACTTATTTTTACTATACCTACTGAAGTGTATTGTAATTGATTGTTTACTCTTCTGTCTTCTGTCTCTGCATCACTAGCACTTAGAAGAATGCTTCTCATATAGGAGTACTAAGTGGAACGAAAAAAGGAAGGAAGGAGAAAAGATCCCTGTGGTTAAAATGAGGTCAGTGGTGATGTTAGAGGGTACAGTTCAGGCAGGTAGAGAAGAGAAAAAGACTAAACTTACAAGGTATGAAGAATGGATCAGGGAGAAGGAAAATATTCATTTCAAAAATCTAGCCAGAAAAGAAAAATGAAATGGGTAAAAGATATATCAGCATCAAAGAAAGACACCTGCTCTTTTAAACACAGGGTAGCTGACCAACAGAAGATAAAAGAAAACAAGTTGAGAGGGAAAAACAGAAGATTAAAGTAGGCCGGGCGTGCTGGTTCACACCTATAATCCCAGCACTTTGGAAGGCCGAGGTGGGTGGATCACCTGAGGTCAGGAGTTCAAGACCAGCCTGACCAATATGGTGAAACTCCATCTCTACTAAAAATACAAAAAAATTAGCCAGGTGTGGTGGCAGGCGCCTATAATCCCAGCTACATGGGAGGCTGAGGCAGAATTGCTTGAACCCAGGAGGCAAGGTGGCACTGAGCTGAGGTTGTACCATTGCATTCCAGCATGGGCAACAAGAGTGAAACTCCATCTCAAAGTTTCTCAAGGAAATAAGAGAGGACACAAACAGATGGAAAATCATTCCATGCTCATGGTTAGGAAGAATCAATATTGTGAAAATGACCATATTACCCAAAGTAATTTATAGATTCAATGCTATCCTCGTCAAGCTACCACTGACCTTCTTCAGAGAACTGGAAAAAAACCACCTTAAACTTCATAAGGAACCAAAAAAAAGCCCACATAGCCAAGACAATCCTAAACAAAACAAAAAAAAACCATAAAGCTGGAGGCATCACACTACCTGACTTCAAACTATATTAGAAGGCTACAGTAATCAAAACAGCATGGTACTGGTACCAAAACAGAGATATAGACCAATGGAACAGAACAGAGGCCTTGGAAGTAACGCCACATGTCTACAACCATCTGATCTTTGACAAACCTGACAAAAACAAGCAATGGGGAAAGGATTCCCTATTTAATAAATGGTGTTGGGAAAACTCGCTAGCTATGTGCAGAAAGCTGAAACTGGACCTCTTCCTTACACCTTACACAAAAATTAACTCCAGATGGATTAAAGATTTAAACATAAAACCTAACTCTATGAAAACGCTAGAAGAAAACCTAGGCATTCAGGACACAGGCATAAGGAAGGACTTCATGACTAAAACACCAAAAGCAATGGCAACGAAAGCCAAAATAGAAAAATGGGATCTAATTAAACTTAAGAGCTTCTGCACAGCAAAACAAACAAGCATTAGAGTGAACCAGCAACCAACAGAATGGGAAAAAATTTTTGAAACCTACCTATCTGACAAAGGGCTAATATCCAGAATCTACAAAGAACTTAAACAAATTTACAAGAAAAAAACAATCCCATCACCAAAAAGTGGGCAAAGAATATGAACAGACACTTCTCAAAAAGAGACATTTATGCAGCCAACAAACATGAAAGAAAGCTCATCATCACTTGCATTTAGAGAAATGCAAATCAAAACCACATTGAGATAACATCTCATGCCAATGAGAATGGTGATCATTAAAATATCTGAAGACAACAGATACTGGAGAGGATGTGGAGAAATAGAAACGCTTTTACGCTATTGGTGGGAGTATAAATTAGTACGACCATTGTGGAAGACAGTGTGGCGATTCCTCAAGGACCTAGAAATAGAAATATCATTTGACCCAGCAATCCCATTACTGGGCCTATACCCAAAGGATTATAAATCGTTCTACTATAAAGACACATGCACATGTATGTTCACTGTGGCACTGTTTACAATAGCAAAGACTTGGAACCAACCCAAATGCCCATCAGTGATAGAATGGACAAAGAAAATGTGGCACATATACACCATGGGGTACTGTGCAGTCATAAAAAGGATGAGTTCATGTCCTTTGTAGGGACATGGATGAAGCTAGAAACCATCATTCTCAGCAAACTGACACAAGAACAGAAAACCAGACGCCGCATGTTCTCACTCATAAGTGGGTGTTGAACAATGAGAACACATGGACACAGGGAGGGGAACATCACACACCAGGGTCTGATGGTGGGTGGAGACTAGGGGAGGGATAGCAGGGGGTAAGGGGATTGGGGAGGGGCAACATTAGGAGAAATACCTAATGTAGGTGATGGGGGAATGGAGGCAGCAAACCACCATGGCATGTATATATCTATCTAACAATCCTGCACAATCTGTACATGTACCCTAGAACTTAAAAAATTAAAAAGTACAGAGTACAGGAATCACATTCTACACTAGCAGGACAGGGATCACAGAGTACAGGATCACATTCTACACTAGGAGGACTGAGACTGACAGATAAAAACAGCTGTGGAAACAGAGATGTTGTCAAGAGAACACAGAATCCTGCTACTTTCAGGTATTATAATTTTTATTCCTTCAGTTTCCCAAACTAGAAATTAAAAAAAAACAACACCCAAAAAAATCCTTAGCACATTCCTTTTCTCCAGATGCTAATATTAATTTATTAACAATCTCTATCCTTTCTTCTTTCTAAATATCTTTCAGGTCAGCTCTACCTCTCTTCCCACTGCCACCATTCTCTGATAAGCTTCTATCATCTCTCAACTGAATTACTGAAAAGCTCCTAGGCAGCTTCTAATTCTAGTGTCACATTTCTCATTTAACAATAAACACACAGTCAGGTTTCTTTCACACATTTTCTCTGTGAAATCAACTCCCTCCTCAGCTACTAGAATTAATCACTCCCTCCTCTATGCTACTACTGTACCTAGTAAACAGGGGTTGGCAAGGCCTGTTGGCCAAATCCTATTTTTGCAAATAGTTTTATTGGAAAGCAGTTATTTCTATTTAACTACATATTGTCTATGACTGCTTTTATGCTACAACAGCAGACCTGAATATGGAGACGATATGACTCAGAAGGCCTAAAATATTTACTCTCTGGTTCTTTACAGAAAATGTTTGCCAACCCCTGAACTATACTATCATACTTATATGTTACTTTAATTGTTAATTACAACAACAAAAGAAGCTGATATGAGGTACTTACTGAGACAGGCATTTTCCCAAGATATTAGGTACGCTATCTCATTTAATTTGTACAATGTTATTAAAGAGGCAGATATTATTACTATATTTATTTTATAGATAAGGACACTGAGGCTTATCATTCCATATCCATGTTCTAAACCACAACACTGACTACACTGTTTTTCTAAATAGACTGTGAGCTTATTAAGAGCAAAGATCATGTCTAAGTCATCTTTATATTCTCAGAGCCTAGCATAGGGCCAAGTGTAGTAGGTATTCCATAACTGTTTACTAAATTAATCTTACTAAAATAACCACTTTCATCCTGTCTTCTCCCTGCTCAATCCCCATATTATATGTTATATTATAAGCAATAACTCCCATATTGCTTACTGCATCAAATCTAAACACCAAACAATTCTAACTGACTTTAAGTCTGACCACAGTCTGGGACAACAATCAGAACACACGGACTATAAGAAAACACATGCTCTATAAGGAAAGCTTGGGTTTAGCTCTCTCTGGAATTTCTAATACAACTCTATTACAGAATTGTTTATATATGGTCCACAGGTGTCCAGGAATGTTTAATTCAAGTCTTTTCCTCAGCATCGTGTTTTACTGTGATGACAATAAAGTTTCCCAAAGAATACACAAGTAAATCAGAGTAAATCCCACAAGGCAGGACACTCTAAGAGATCACGGTCTTAGCCTGTTTTGTCTGCTATTGAATCTCTGGTATCCAAAAATAGTTGGTGGCACATAGTAAGCGTTCAACAAAACTTTCAAAGAATGAATAAATGCCTAGAAGATAAATTTTTTTGCTTGCTACTGAGTGAACTCAATAGCAAAGTTCAAAGCCTTAATTATGTTCAACTTCTATTTCAGAATTGGCTGCTCTTCTTTCTTAAGCTGACGATCATAATTTAGCTTATGCAATAAACTATGCTACTAACAAAACTCACCTGCCATCACGTGATCTGTGGAGGCTGCCGTGGTAGCTGCTTACTTTGCTGTGGATGCTCCCCGCTTTGCTTCTTTGATCATCCACCATAGCCAGCTGAGTTGAAGAAGCATGGGTAGATGTTCCTTGAGTGGAAGTTCCCCTCGACTTTCTTATGATAGGAGTATTTGGATCTCTCAGGAGAGACTGAGCAAAATCAGGTTCCTGGAGTACTTGCCGGCTCTCATTCACTATCCTAGACAACAAAAAAGTAAGTTTAAGATACATACCAACCTTCCTACAGACCAATAAGCAATACTTCTGTGCAACACTGATAGTGTTCTTGAAATTAATTGCTTGCCAAATTAGACCTATAGGACTGATATGAAGAAACATTATTGACAGAGTAAAGAATTTAGCAATCCATGTCAATCTGTCCCCTAAGATGGTATGATGGAAAAAGTCCTGTGTTAGAATAAGAAAATCAGGATTTTACTTTCAACTTTATCGATAACTTAAGCATGTCATTACCTCATTTTTTTCATTTCTTCATCCGCAAAATGAAGGTATACAATTTCATCATTTCTAAAAGGTCCCTTTCAGCTAAAGAAATTTGTCATTCTTAAGACACTGAAATATTATGAAGATATAACTCTAAAACAGAAAAACTGTTTTCTTGCATGGTTTATATGCGTAGTAGAGGCTTCACTGTAGCATGCATACAACATTTTTTAAAGCTGTAAGAGCAGTTGTTTTAGGCTATGAGTTGATTTTACACAGAAGTAGCTGTCTAGTCCTGGAATAAACATGAGAGGTCATAATTAAAACAAATAGACTTCTCTGTGTCCTGTTCTCCTAGATGCCTACCTTGTGTGGCTCTGTGACCTGCAGGTATTGGAGATCCACAGCTAAGATGCCAGGATCCCCTGGAAGCCTAGAAATGGAACGGTTGACATTTAGGGATGTGGCCACAGAATTCTGTCTGGAGGAGTGGCAATGCCTGGACAGTGCACAGCAGAATTTATATAGGAGTGTGATGTTAGAGAACTACAGAAACCCGGCCTTCCTGGGCAGACAAGCAACCTCATCAAGCAGCTCCCTGACACCACAGCCAGGTAAATCCACAAAGATGGGAAAAAACTGCACAAAAAAGATGAAACCATCAAAGACCAGAACACCTCTTCTCCTTCAAGGCACCACAACTTCTCAACAACACAGGATCACAACTTGACCAAGCAGTGCGACGAACTGACAGATACAGGCTTCAGAAGGTGGCTAATAACAAACATTTCTGAGCTAAAGGAACGTGTTCTAACTCAAGGCAAAGTAACCAAAAACCTTGGAAAAAAAAGTTAGACAAAATGCTAATTGGAATAACCAGGATAGAGAAGAACGTAAACGACTTGATGGAGTTGTAAAACACAGCACAAGAACTACGTGAAGCAAACACAAGTTTTAATAGCCAGATTGATCAAGGAGAAGAAAGGGTATCAGAAACTGAAGATCAACTCAATGAAATAAAAAGAGAAGGCAAGACAAAAGTGAAAAGAAATGAACAAAGCCTCCAAGAAACATGGGATTATGTGAAAAGACCTAATCTACACTTGATCAGTGTACTGAATATGATGGGAAGAATGAATCCAAGCTGGAAAACATGTTCCAGGATATTATCCAGGAGAACTTCCCAAGCGTAGCAAGGCAGTCCAAATTTCAAATTCAAGAAATACAGAGAACTCCCCAGAGATATTCCTCAAGAAGAGCAACCCCAAGGCACATAATCGTCAGATTTACCAGGGTTGAAATGAAGGAAAAAATGCTAAGGGCAGCCAGAGAGAAAGGCCAGGTCACCCACAGAGGGAAGCCAGTCAGACTCACAGCAGATGAGTCTGCAGAAACCCTACAAGCCAGAAGAGAGTGGGGGCCAACATCCAACATCCTTAAAGAAAATAACTTTCAGCCCAGAATCTCATATCCAGACAAACTAAGCTTTGAAAGTGAAGGAGAAATGAAATCCTTTACAGACAAGCAATTATTGAGAGCTTTTGTCACCACCAGACCTGCCCTACAAGAGCTCCTGAAAGAAACACTAAGCATGGAAAGGAACAAGTTCCAGTCACGGTAAAAGCAAACCAGTTGGCAAAGACCAAAAATGCAATGAAGAAAATGAGGCAACTAATAGGAAAGAAAACCAGTCAGTAACAAAACAGCAGAATCAAATCCACACATAACAATATTAACATTGAATTTAAGTGGCCTAAACACCCCAATCAAAAGACACAGACTGGCAAACTGGATAAAAAGTCAGAACCCATCAGTGTGCTGTATTCAGGAAACCCATCTCACATACAAGGACACACATAGACTCAAAATAAAGGGATGGAAGAAGATTTACCAAGCAAATGGAGAACAAAAAAAAGCAGGGGTTGCAATCCTAGTCTCTGATAAAATGGACTTCAAACCAACAAAGATCAAGAGAGACAAAGAAGGACACTACATAATGGTAAAAGGATCAATCCAACAGGAAGAGCTAAGTATCCTAAACACATATGCCCCCAACACAGGAGCACCCAGATACATAAAGCAAGTTCTTAATGACATAAAACGAGATTTAGACTCCCACACAATAATAGTGGGAGACTTCAACATTCCACTGTCGATATTAGATCAATGAGACAGAAAATTAACAAGGATATCCAGGACTTGAATGCAGAGCTGGACCAAGTGGACATAATACACATATACAGAACGCTCCACCCCAAATCCACAGAATAGACATTTTTCTCAGCACCACATTGCACATACTCTAAAATTGACCACATCATTGGAAGCAAATCACTCCTCAGCAAATGCAAAAGAACAGAAATCATAACAAACAGTCTATCAGACCACAGCGCAGTCACACTAGGACTCAGGATCAAGAAACACACACGAACCCGCACAACCACTTGGAAACTGAACAACCTGTTTCTGAGTGTTGACTGGAAACTCTGTCTCAAAAAAAAAGAAATACTAGACTTCCATAGAATCAACCCAAATGCCCATCAATCATAGAACTGGACAAAGAAAATGTGGTACATATACACCATGGAATACTACGCAGCCATAAAAAACTAGTTGTGTCCTTTGTAGGGACTTGGATGAATCCGGAAACCATCATTCTCAGCAAACTAACACAAGAACAGAAAGCCAAACACCGTATGTTCTCACTCATAGGTGGGTGTTCAACAACAAGAACACGTGGACTCAGGGAGAGGAGCATCACACACTGGGGGCAGTTGAGGAGGGGTAGGGAGAGACAGTCGGGGGTGGGGAGGAGTAACATGGGGAGAAATCCCAGATATAGTATGCACCTCAAGTAAATAAATTAATTTAAAAAAAACAAATAATATGAAAAATTAAAGTTAAAATTAAGTCTCAGACATAGTAGAAGCTTAAAGAGAAACGTTTAGGCAAAGAATTATTCTCAAGAACAAAAATTTTTAACTACTATCAAAGGATTAAGTAGATGGCTTATGATGATGAACAACGCAGTAATTAAATTAATGTAAGAGCTAATTACACAGTTGTAAAGGTTAATGTCTTGGTTTATATAAGTAAAGGACTTACTATGAAAATCATGAAGTTAAAATTGGATAATCAATTTCATTTCAAAATTAAAACTCCAACATATAAAGACTAGATCATATATTGAGAAATTACATATATTGTAAATTATCAAATAACAAAAGGATTATTGCCGTTGTTTTCATCTTGGGGTAGAAAGGCTAAAGGAAGACTAGTATTTACTGAGTGTTTTATATACATTCTCCTTTGATCCTCTTAATAATGTCATCATTATAGAGATTCATGTCCTAAGAGTATATTTCTAAGGAAACATTGGGTATCTACTAATAATAGATATTGTAATCCCCATTTCACAGACAAAGAAACTAAAATTCCAAGAGATTAAAGAACTTTCAAAAAAATCACACAATGAAACCAAGAGTCAAGGATCAAACTTAAGTTTAAAGTCTTAGGGGCTAATCACAAGGTAAAACAGTATTGACATATATCTGGAAAACAAAGTGTCAAAAACATGACAGAAAAAAGAACAAGTCAAAAAAAGTAAAAATAAATAAATAAAATCTGGATTCATACGTCCCACCAAGTCATTCTTGGTTGCTAACTTTATTTTCTAAACCGGGTTCAAACTAGCTTCTAGTGATTTCAAAAATTTAATTCATCTTCAAACAGTGAAGGTCTGTCCCCTCATTTTACAGATAATGTCCAGAGAGATAAAGTGAAATGACCCAGGTAATTCAAAAGAGGATTTCTAAAAATTTTTAAATCTATGTCAAATTATTAGCATAAGCATGGTCTTAAATTTGGCTTCACTTAAGGAGAGAACATTAATCCGATTAGCACAATGTTAGAAACCAGTCTACAGCATACTGTAACAAAGTAGTTAAGAGCAAAGCTCTGGAGTCAGACTGTTTGGGTGTCAATCTATATGTTAGCAATCACTTGTTATAAACTCTTGCTTCTATGCCTCAGTTTCCTTATCTGTAAAATGATGTCCTCCCTGACAAGAGTGTTTAGAGCATTAAATGATTTAATGTGTAAAGTACTTAGTGCTTTGAGTTTTAAATGTGCCCAATAAATTGATACCCATTATTATGATTATCTTATAGTTGTTTTCAAAGGCTAACCAGACAAATGCTAGAAATAGCCAAAGGGTGCCCACATTCTTGAACTCCAGAATAAGGAATAAGGGGCTGCCACTCCAGCCCAGAGCATTTCCTGGCTTGGAAGATCACAATGACTGTTGGTTGCAAATCCACAGGTGCAGAAAACCAAACGGAAGGGCCCCTGAGAGTTTTAACCAGTTTCAAAAGGATTTTTGCCCAACCAGTATCCCCACTAAACTAACTAGGATAAATCTCTATAAGGAAAGCTTGGGTTTAGCTCTATTTGGAATTTCTAATGCAACTCTATTACAGAATTGTTTATATATAGTCCAGAGGTGTCCAGGAACGTTTAATTCAAGTCCTTTCCTCAGCATTGTGTTTTATTGTGATTACAATAAAGTTTCCCAAAGAATACACAAACAAATCAGAGTGAATCCCACAAGGGAGGAAACTCTAAGAAGTAGGATCTTGGTACATCACTTTATTTGCATAGATTCAGTGTAGTGTTCAGCATGCAGCAAATTCAATTTTGCTTTTTGGAATTTTCTTGGAATTTTTTTTCCCAAATATTTTTGATCCATTGTTGGTTGAATCCACTGATATGGAACCCCCAGATACAAAAGGCTGACTGTATATTAAACTGTGATTATCTTATCTCTGTTAATATAATTTGCTAATTACTGGTATTTCAGTAAATATAAACTTTATTAGTGAGGCAGAAACTAAAGTAACTTCAAATTGTATCATATAAGAAAACTACATTAACCAATACAAGGCACATTCTACATGTAATTTAAAAATATTTACAGACTACCCCCCAAAAAAATCATTCTTCCATGTAGCCTAAATTAAGTAAAATCATAATAAATATAGAATCCAACCAGGCACAGTGGGTGGCTCACGCCTGTAATCCCAGCACTTTGGAAGGCTGAGGGTGGATCAGGAGATCAGGAGTTCAAGACCAGCCTGGCCAAAATAGTGAAACCCTGTCCCTACTAAAAATATAAAAATTAGCTGGGCATGGTGGCAGGAGCCTGTAAACCCAGCTACTTGGGAGGCTGAGACAGGAGAATGGCTTGAATCAGGGTGGGAGAGGTTGCAGTGAGCCAAGATTGAGCCACCAGACTCCAGCCTGAGCAACAGAGTGAGACCCTGAAGAAAAAAAGAAAAGAAAAGAAATATAGAATCCACTAACTCAGAATAACTGAGTAAAAAGTTTGTTCCACTGTGAAAACTGCAGGGTTTTGTTTTGTTTTACAACTAAGGTACAAGAAGATAAAGATTCCTTAAATATGCCCTCAAATGATACTGTAATATGCAGTATGGCCAACTAGGAATTAAAATGACCTCTAACACATTTCAATGTATCTACTAATATCATTTTTCTATTTGGCTTTAACATGTACTATATTAGAATGGAATAAAAGTATTTCTTTATATCACTTTTGGTATGCTTGGAAGAACAATGGACAACTGGAGATAGCAGTTAATCTAGCTCCTAGCAGTAAACACCTGTGTGACTTTGGCCAAGCACTTAACCTCTACCTTATTTTCTCATTTGTAAGAGAGAAGAGAATACATGCCAATTTCGAAGGAATATCAGGAAGGTCAGGTAAGAATGTAGAGAAAAGCATTAATTTTCTTTTAATTTTAACAAAGTTATAATTTGAAGTCTTCTCATAAAGATTGGACTTCCTTCAAATATTCTGAATTAGTACAGGAGGCCTGCTCATCTTCTGGACTACTTGGTCATCTTCTCAAAATAAGTTTTCAGTTTTAAATTAAGACATGCTACTGTGCCAATCATAACTGGATATTGCTGAAAATGTTACAGTCTTGTTTGAATAATTCTCCAAATCCAAGTCATTTTCACATAAGCAAAACCAAAAAAATTTACATAAATGTGAGGCTCGTGAACATCATGATAATTTATTTCAACTTACTCTTTTTTTCTACGACCATGAAAAAAACTGGCCCATTCAAAGCATGTCTTTTTGCTTCCAACCCAAAATACAGAGGGAATGCCAACTATGAGAGCCATCAGGTATTTCATCAGAAAGAGAATCAAGTCTGGGTGACTCATTTGAGTAACCTAGAAGAAAAGAAAGAAAAACATCTTAAATATATATAAATAACTTTCTATGAAAGACCAATATAAAATCTTTTAAATAAAGTGAGAATAAAATAATTCTACAAATTCGATATTTTCATTTGTAAGGTTTAATAGGTAATTTTCCTGTTATGTGGAAAAAATACACTGCTGAAAATTTGACAATAAATTTATACATTGAGCCAGATCTATCTACCTAGATAGACAGAAGACAGGTATTTGGCTGATATTAGCCATCTTCTAAACTAGGAAAGAATGGAGATATTTGTACAATAGCAGTGGGGGCAGTAGTGATGCAGATGAACCTTTTAAAAGAGTAATGTGAAAATAAGATGCCATAGAAGGAAAAGACTGACAGGTTTGACTATTAAAAATTTAAAACTTCAAAAAAAAATTTTTAAACTTCCACAGAACAAGCAGCCTTAAATCAAATTAACAGAATAATGACTAACTAGAAATATTAACTGTATCAATCAAAAAAGCAAATCTAAGAAAAAGAAAATGAAGAATAAGCCAGGTGTGGTGACTCACGCCTATAATCCCAGCACTTTAGGAGGCCGAAGCAGGCAGATCATCTGAGGTCAGGAGTTCAAAACCAGCCTGGCCAACATGACAAAACGCTCTCTCTATTAAAAATACAAAAATTAGCTGGGCGTGGTGGTAGACACCTGTGGTCCCAGGTACTAAGGAGGCTGAGACAGGAGAATTGCTTGAATCGGGGAGGTGAAGACTGCAGTGAGTCACGATCACGCTACTGCACTCCAGCTTGAGTGACAAAGTGGGACTCTGTCTCCAGAAAAAAAAAAAATAGAAAAAAGAAATAAAGCATTTATAAGACCCAAAAAAGAAAAAGTCACAGAACTAATAAACCCAAAGTTGGTTATTTGAAAAAGGAATAGGCCAGACTCCAGTCTAACAACAAAGGGAAGAGAACAGCTGAACACACAGACACAGAAATAATAACGAAACAGATACCAATAAAGAAAAATTAAAGAATCTTTAAAAGATTGCTTTGCTCAATTCCAGGCAAATAAACTTAAAAAACAATGGATACAAATGATAAAAAAATGTAATTTAACAAAATTGACTCCAGAGGAGATAAAAAAAAATTGAACAGATATAGAATAAAGTTGTCTAAGAGCTACCTCCTCTCAGAAAGCACTAGACCCAAAAGTTTCACAGGAAAGTTCTAATAAGCCATTAAAGAACATATAATTTCAAATTGTCTGAAAACGCAGAAAAAGGAAACTACTGAAATTATTTATATAAAGCAAGCATAAAATTGTACTTAATAAAGGCTCCATAAAGAAAGAAAACTATTTAAGTCTCATTTAGGAATTTGTATGCAAACAGAATTTAACAGCAAATTAAAATATGCCAGGACCAAACGGGAATGCAAGGATGGTTCAACATTAGTAAATTTATTTATAAATTCAATATATTATTAGATCAAAGGGAAAACATATAATCATCTTCATAAATGCCACAAAGGCATTTGACAAAAGTATTCATTCTTGATTATTAAAAACTGTAATAAAATACAAAAAGATGATGGTGAAGTCCTTAAAGACACTATATCTGTACCTCAATGTATCTAAATCCAAAAGCAAACTTCATGCTTAATGGAAACACCAAAAGCCACCAGAAATATTTTCATTAAAATATGAAATACAAGAAGAGTATCTACTGTCACCACTCTTAGTTAACCAGTTGCAACAGCGCTAGACTGCGATTAGATAAAAGAAATAAAGGTTATAAAAACTAGAAAGGAGGAGGCAATGTGATCATTATTTATAAATAACGTAATTTTATACCTGGAAAAACTAAGAGAATAAACTAAAAGCTATTATAAATTATAAGCAGGGTTGCTAGGTATGAAATAAAATACATAAATAACTTTCATATATATAAATATCAATTAGTAGATGTAAGAAAGAAAATTCTTCATTTACCATTTTTATGGGTTAAATTGTCTCCCCTATCCAAATTCATATGTTGAAGCCCTAACTCCCAGTACCTCAGATTGTGATTGTATTTGGAAGCAGGGTCTTCAAAGAGGTAATTAAGGTTATGTGCATGGATCCTGACCCAATTTGACTGGTATCCTTAGATGAGGAGGAAATGTGGACATAAAGACACCAGGGGTATGTACACACAGAGAAAAGACCATGTGAGGACACAGCAAGCAGGCTCCCATCTACAAGCCAAGGAGAGAGACCTGAGAGGAAACCAACCCTGTCAGCACCTTCATCTTGGACCTCCGGCCTCTAGAACTGTGAGAAAATTAGTTTCTATGGTTTCAGCTACCCAGTCTGTGGTATCTCATTATGGTAGCCTTAACATACTAATACAAACTATAACAAAGGAGACAAAACACCTAAGAATAAATTTAATATGAAAAATGAGTGATCTGTTTGAAGACGTTATAAAACACACTACACTTCAAACATGTTCTTAGTTAGAATTTATCGTAAGAATGCAGATTCTCCTTGATTCAGTTATTGAATTTGACACAATCCCAAAATTCCAATAAAAATACCACAGAGTTATTTGAGCATTAAGACAAGCTGATTTTAAAGTTTATATGGAAAAACAAGAACAAACAGGAAAGTCCTGAAAGAGAAGAGAAATATATCATTAAGCCATAATAATTAAAACTGTGAAATTATGGAACGCTATTTAATGTAAGCAGTATTAAAGCAAGTGATATTTCAAACCATTCAGAAAAAAATGTGTTTATTCAATAAATGTATTCTGGACAGGCTTCTAGAAAAAAACAGAGGCAAAGCCATACAATATTTCAAAACTAGATGAATTTCTAAAAGATAGAAAAATTAGACGGGGTGCGGTGGCTCATGCCTGTAATCCCAGCACTGATGGGAGGCTGAGGCAGGTGGTTCACTTGAACCCAGGAGGCAGATGCTGCATCGTGCCACTGTACTCCAGCCTGGTCGACAGAGTAAGAGCTTGTCTTAAAGTAAATAAATAAAAACAAAAATTCAAATGTAAGAAAAAAATTAACAACAAAAAAAAACCATGAAGTTAAAGTTCTAGATGAAAGCTTGTGTATCAGGAAGAGAGGTGAAAGAGTGACTTTCTAACAATGACACAACACTTAGAAGCCATCAAGGGTTGGTTGTGGTGGCTCACACCTGTAATCCCAGCACTTTGGGAGGCCCAGGAGGGTGGATCATGAGGTCAGGAGTTCGAAACCAGCCTGGTCAATATGGTGAAACCCCATCTCTACTGAAAATACAAAAATTAGCTGGGCGTAGTGACGTGCACCTGTAGTCCCAGTTATTTGGGAGGCTGAGGCAGAAGAATCGCTTGAACCCGGGAGCTGAGGATGCAGTGAGATTACGCCACTGCACTCCAGCATGAGCGACAGAGTAAAACTCCGTCTTGAAAACAAACAAACAAAAAAAGCTATCAAAAAGAGACAAATGTGGGTACATAAAAACCCCACATTTCTGCATGGCCATAACTATCATAACAACAGCCAAAATACAATTAAAAAGCTGATATAAAATTGTTGCAAATTATATGGCAGAAAAAAGGGCTAATTTCATCAATGAATAATAAACTCCTACAACTAAATAGAAGCCCATGACCTAAAGAAAAATAGGCGAAATATATGAACAATTTACGGAAAACGAAAGACAAATCTAGAGCTCAGATTCATAGTTAAATTATATGCTGGCTCTATTTTTAACCTATCAAATAGGTAAGATCCAAGAGTCTGACAGTATATTGCACTAGCAAATGTACAGACAAATACTCTCATATACTGGAGATGGAGGGGTAAATTCATAAACCTCTATAGAAGACAATTTGGCAATGTCAAAGGTATACCTTTTGATTAAGCAATTATTTTACAAATATATGCTACAGATAATTCATATATAGGTGAAATGATGTATATAGAAGTACTGTACATATATCATATACAACAGTAAAATATTAGAAGCAATATAATTTATCTACTCAATGGAATACTATGAGGGCAAGAAAAGATACTGAGGAAGCCTTTTCTATTTTGGTATTGGTCTCCAAAATATATCATTAAATGACAAAAGCAAGGTGGGGAAGTGTGTATGGGAGCTACTGAGTAAAAAAGAGGGAGCAAAGGAATATACTTGCTTATACGTGCATGAACATCTCTGAAAAGAGGATATACAAATTCCTTGTAAAATTCCACGTTACCGTTGAGAGAGGCACTGGAAAGCTGGGAAACACAGGTGGTGATAGAAGGGAGACTTTTCCCATACAGTTTTGTAGCTTTTGGGTTTAGAACCATTAAAAATTTTTAAGAAGAAACAGAATTTTTTTAATGTATATATGAAGATTCTAAATATAAAAATAAGTGTGGGATGGGGCACTGGGAAACACCCTCACTGTTGGTAAACTGGTATAACTTTACTAGTATACAATCTTGTAAAACTTATAAAAAATGTAAATGTGTATTCCATTTGATTCAGCAATTCTATTTCAAGAAATAGCATCCTAAAGAAATAGCAGATCAGTAATAGGAGATTGTTTAAATAAATTATGGTATATACAAATTACCAAATATACAGCCATTCAAAAAATGATAATGTAAATGAAAAAAGGAGAGTACAGACAGTGGTGTGCTGGTAATTGTTCAACGACCGGCTTTCTGGGTCAAGGGAAGCCCTGATTTGTAGCATCTGCCAATTTCAATGGTCATTTTCTTTCTTTCTTTTTTTGAGACGGAGTCTCGCTCTGTTGCCAGGCTGGTGTGCAGTGGCCCAATCTCAGCTCACTGCAACCTCCTGCCTCCTGGATTCAAGCAATTCTCCTGCCTCAGCCTCCTGAGTAGCTGGGATTATAGGTGCACGCCACCATGTCCAGCTATTTTTGTATTTTTAGTAGAGTTGGAGTTTCACTATGGTGGCCAGGATGGTCTCGATCTCTTGACCTTGTGATCCACCTGCCTCAGCCTCCCAAAGTGCTGGGATTAC